GGGGATTTTAATGCGGTTGAGAGGGGAGGAATTGCTTCCGTCAACCGTCCGGCCGTATATCTGATCGCACTTAAATTATAATTGAGGTATAGTCGATTTAAATTGTGAATAAAATTATATTTGAGCGTATTATGTTTATATTATTGAGCACAGCCGAGTCGCGGTATTGAGCAGTGCCGAGTCGAGTACCGAGTAGAGGGTGACGTGACACAATCTGGTATGTCTCTGAACAACGTTCGACACTTGCACGAGATATTTTCTCCAAAAAGAAGGAGCTCAACCCAGGGATCAAATGGTTTATAATGACAAGAGATATTACATTCAAAAAATAAGTGGGAGGTAGATTCTGGCAAAGAGCTGCATAGCCCACTTAGTAAGTATGCTCATATGTTTCTTCCGAGCAAATTATCTACAGTTTTAAGACCGCTAAATGAAGTATTCGACAATAGACTCAGTATCTCAGCATATAATTATTATGCCAATCATATTTAAATAAAAAAGGTTTTTGAGTCATCAGTGAAAGATTTAAAAGAGAAGTTGCCCTTCTACCAAATTTTCACTTTGCATATGGATTTGACAACCACAACTAGCGTGCAAGTGAATCAAACTGACTCGTATGCTAGGGTATGCTAGCTGTGGCTCTACTCAATAAATGATTCCTGAGATGGGCTCAATAAACTAATGAGTTAAGCTTGAGCAATCATTGACTCGACTAGTTAGCTTATAAATCGGCTCCTTAAAAAAATATTAATGTAAGATATATTATTTTTCATGAGTTTAAGTATATAGTTATTAAAAAAAATTAAAAATTATATCTCACTTTTTTTTTTATCAAGTGATTATTTATATTTCCTCTTCTAATTTCTCAAAATTTCAACATTTTCTAATAATAGTTCTTTGAATTTTAATCATTTTATCTCTTTCATAATAAATGAGTTTGCTCGTGAGCTGACTCGAACTCCTAAAATAAAACTGGAATTCGACTCGACTCGTTTACACCCTATTCTCCTAAATATACTTATTGAAATTTTAAAAGTTCATTTCAATTATAAATAAGAGTTAAATTTAGTTAATTTGAATTTTATTGATAAACTATATAATATACTTATGCAAGAATACTCTCCGAAGGCTCAATTGTTATGTTATTTGGTCTAATGGCTAGTGCCAGTTTGATCCTTTCTGGCCTGCTTGTGTTGTGTCATTGCTCGTCTCTCTAATTGATTCACCTTGTCTTTACTACTTTCAGTTGCTCAGTACTATTATTCTGGTGGACAATATGGCCTAAATCTGGCCTTAGCTGCATGCTGATATTTGCTGCTCTTAGGCGTCGTCGTCTCTAACAGTTTTTCTCCATTTCGTGGGTAAATCCCGTTGACATATAAAAATTTAGCGGGTGAACAGTGGCGTGCCATGATGAAATAGCGGCAAAATTGACGCTCGGTTTGAGCGACGGAAAAACGGTTGTTTGTCGTTCCATTGGAGATGCCCTTAGTTCATACTGCTTTATATTGTTGGGTTTTTGCTATTGTGGATGAGGAGTAAACATCACAACGATGAAATACACAAGAAAATAAAAATAGCGAAAAAATAAAGGACATCAGGATTAAATGTGAATCTGTATGCATGCTGCTAAGAAAAATCAATAAATCCTAACTTGAATGATCAGTTATGAGAAGTTAGCAGAAGAGTAACTGATCAGAAAATTAACATTTAAAAGCAGCTCTTGCCATGCAAAACTCCTGCAGACAAAGCATATAAGTTCCAAATTCTGCAGGCTTCAATATATAGCAACTGGATTACAATACTAATCATCTTGTCAAAATGAACCTTATCATCAACAATGGTTGTTTTCAAAGAATCTATTAAGTTTGTAACTTTGTTTTCTGCAAGTTCTTCTTTGAAGTTCTAGCTGTTTTACCCTTAGCACATCTCTTTTCCTGTTATTACTTCTACTTCTTTTTTCTTAACTCCTCTAAAATAAGTACCTATACATTCCTCATGCACTAATCTACATTCAATGCTAAAATGCCCATTCATTGATCCATTCCATTGAGGAAAAAAAAAAAAGTTTAGATTTGTGCAAAATGATGAAGTTTGAAGAGAAAATTTATAATACCCTATTTTGTAAATTTGCATTTTTTTTTATCTATTTCAGTAATAAGAATGCTAGGAATTGAGAAGATGATGAAATTCTCCTCTATTGAAGTTTTATTTTTGTCTACTTTCAACTTAAGCTTGACCAGGAGACGTCCATTGGCCTATTAAAAAATATCCCAATTATATAAAATGCTTAAAACACAATGTAAATTTGGCTTGAATTGATTTTGTGCTCCATTCTAGGCCAGAAAATGATTCAAATGGCTTTCGAGCAAACTCCATCCTAGGTTAAAAAATGATGCAAACTGTAAATAAATTTGACCTCGAATTTGCTTGAGTATGTTTCTAGTAGAGTGAAATAAGCATGTATACATATAATGTAAGAATCAGGTATGGTTGAACTTAACAATATTGAAGATATCTTATTAGGAATACTAAATACAATATCAAAAGATCTGGGTAGTCTTAAGTCAATACATAGGGTTGTCAATATTTGACATGACCCGTAAATCTGACTCGAACTCGACCCGAAAATTTTAGGTTCGGGTTTCGTTTTTCAACCCGTATGAAATTTCGGGTTTGGTTCGGGTCAACCCGGGAAACCCGAATGTCACCCGGTTCGACCCGATTTGCAAACCAGCCCCTGATATTTACCTTTTTATCCTTAGGGCTTTTAAACTTGCGTATTCGACATTCGAGAGTTGAAATATCGCTCGTCTCTCTTTGAGCGCGAAATGTCCAAGCTAGGGCTGCTCGATTTCGCAGATATTCCTGCCTTATGCCAGGATATTTTCAGCTTTTCTCCTCCTCTGCGACTTTGCATCCTCGACTCATTGATTTCTCTATCAATATATCTTAAATCTTGCCAGTGTTAACATTCTTTCAATTATCTTTATGACTCATGAGTCTTGCTTTTTTATTTTATTTTATGAGTTACTAAGTAACTGCTAGAGTGTTAGTTTTGATTTATTTGGTTCTTTCTTCTAATTTGAAGCTGTTGTGGTTTTAAAATGCCGATTAGTGCATCACATTTTACACATTTTCTATTCGTTTTATTAGGGGATTTTGATTTTATTAGGCAGTTATAATAAGATTAGTGTTTTGAAATGTCAATTATGATTTTGAAATGTCGATTCGGGTTTTGAAAATTGAAATGTTGAGTTATTGTTGGTAGTTGGCTATCTTTGATTCTATGTTATAGCAATATATATTATTCTGCTTGATTAAAATTTGATACCTATTATGAGATATTGGAATATTCATAGTAATATCTATTATTTGGTAGGCTGTTGGCTATCTTTGATTCTATGTTGGCAGTTGGTCTGGATATTTTCAGTTGTTGTTAGCATTTGTCAATATCTGATTCTATGTTAGCCTTAAATTATGAAATTTGCTATCATAATTCATAT